GAGCACAGGGCGGGGTCTGCCCGCATCATGTGGGATCTCTCATACCCTAAAAACCAAAATTCCACCCCAAAATGGGGTCACTGTTAACAAAAACTGCAAAAAACGGGAAAAAACGGCAAAAAATGGCAAAAAACCCCAAAAAACCAGCCCAAAATGCACTGAAATGAGCCCAAAATGACCCCAGAGAGCAGAGGGCGGGGTCTGCCCGCATCGTGTGGTACCGCTCGTACCCTGAAAACCAAAATTCCACCCCAAAACGGGGTCACTGTTAACAAAAACTGCAAAAAACGGGGAAAAACGGCAAAAAAACCCCAAAAAATGGCAAAAAAATCCCATTAAAACAGCACAAATTCCACCCAAAATGCACAGAAATGAGCCCAAAATGAGCCCAGAGCACCGGGCGGGGCGGGCAGTGAAAAAGAGCAAAAAATGGCAAAAAAATTTAAAAAAAACCAGAAAAAAAACGTTAAAATAGCACAAAATGCACCCAAAATACACAAAAATGAGCCCAAAATGACCCAAAATAACCCAAAATGAGCCCAAAATGACGCAAAAAAATCCCATTAAAACAGCACAAATTCCACCCAAAATGCGCAGAAATGAGCCCAAAATGAGAGCCCAGAGCACCGGGCGGGGCGGGAAGTGAAAAAGAGCAAAAAATGGCAAAAAAATTTAAAAAAAACCAGAAAAAAAACGTTAAAATAGCACAAAATGCACCCAAAATACACAAAAATGAGCCCAAAATGACCCAAAATAACCCAAAATGAGCCCAAAATGACCCCGAGCTCAGGGTGGGCTCTGCCCCAGGGTGTGGCTCCTCTCGTAGCCTAAAAACCGAAATTCCACCCCAAAATGGAGAAAATGGCAAAAAAACCCAAAAACGACACAAAAATCTGAGAGAATGGTAAAAAACCCAAAAAAAAGCAGAAAAATCGGAAAAAATGGCAAAAAAACCCCAAAAAAAAAGCAAAAAAAAATCGGAGAAAATGGTAAAAAAACCCAAAAAAGGCAAAAAAAAACGGAACAAAAGCAGCAAAAAATGCCCCAAAAATCCCAAAATTCCGGTTTTTTGCCCCATTTTTTGTGCTCGAAGCCCCCCAAGGAGAGGGACCCCTCCCCAACAAACCCCCTGAATCCCCCCAAACCCCCCAAATCCCCCCAAACCCCCGAGGTCGGGGCTCACCTGGCGCTGGCCCCGGCCAGCACGCGCTCCGCCTGGTCCCCGATCACCTCGTGCCGCAGGAAATGCAGCGTGCGCACCCGCAGCAGCAGCCTGCCGCCCACGGACACACGGACACGCGGACACACGGACACGGGGACACACGGACACACGGACACACGGACACACGGGGACAGACGGGGACGGACACGGGGACAGAGAGACGGGCACGGGGACGGACAGACAGACACACGGACACACGGACACACAGGGACAGGGGGACACGGGGACGGATGGACACAGGGACATGGGGATGGACAGACGGACACGGGGACAGAGAGACGGACACGGGGACGGACAGACAGGGACGGGTGGACACAGGGACATGGGGATGGACAGACGGACACGGGGACAGAGAGACGGACATGGGGACACATGGGGACGGACGGACACGGGGACACGGACAGACAGACACACGGATACAGGGACACGGGGACAGACGGACACACGGACACACAGGGACAGGGGGACACGGGGACACAGGGACAGACACAGGGACGGACAGACGGACAGACGGACACGGGGACAGAGAGACGGACATGGGGACACGGGGACACGGGGATGGACACACGGACACGGGGACGGACGGACGGACACACACGGGGACAGACAGACACACAGACACATGGACGGACGGACACACATGGGGACACGGGGACAGACGGACACACGGGGACAGGGGGACACGGGGACAGAGAGGCGGACACAGGGACGGACAGATGGACAGAGGAACGGACAGGTAGACACGGGGACAGACGGACGGACAGACGGAGACACGGACACAGGGACACACAGACAGACACGAGGACACACAGACGGACAGACAGACGGATGGACAGCAGGGTCAGGGTGGGGGCCGCACCCGGAACCGCCCCAAAAAACACAGAAAACACCCCAAAAACCGCCCCAAAAACCACAGGAAACACCCCAAAAACCGCCCCAAAAAACCCAAAAACCGCCCCCAAAAAACCCCTAAAAACCCCAAATCCCCCAGAAATGACCCAAAATCCCCCAAATTTCCCTCACTTGGCGCTCCGGTGCCGCAGGTGTTTCCGGTAGCCCAAAATCCCCAAATCTCACAGAAATGACCCCAAAAAACCCCAAAATCCCACAGAAACGACCCAAAATCCCCAAATCTCACAGAAATGACCCCAAAAACCCCAAATCTCACAGAAATGACCCCAAAAACCCCAAATCCCACAGAAATCACCCCAAAATCCCCAAATCCCCCAAAAAGCCCCAAAATCCCCCAAATTGGGCTCACTTGGCGCTCTGGTGCCGCAGGTGTTTCCGGTAGCCCAAAAACCCCAAATCTCACAGAAATGACCCCAAAAAACCCCAAAATCCCACAGAAACGACCCAAAATCCCCAAATCTCACAGAAATGACCCCAAAAACCCCAAATCTCACAGAAATGACCCCAAAAACCCCAAATCTCACAGAAATGACCCCAAAAACCCCAAATCCCACAGAAATCACCCCAAAATCCCCAAATCCCCCAAAAAGCCCCAAAATCCCCCAAATTGGGCTCACTTGGCGCTCTGGTGCCGCAGGTGTTTCCGGTAGCCCAAAAACCCCAAATCTCACAGAAATGACCCCAAAAAGCCCCAAAATCCCACAGAAATCACCCCCAAATCCCCCCAAAAAGCCCCGAAATCCCCCAAATTGGGCTCACTTGGCGCTCTGGTGCCGCAGGTGTTTCCGGTAGCCCAAAAACCCCAAATCTCACAGAAATGACCCCAAAAACCCCAAATCTCACAGAAATGACCCCAAAAACCCCAAATCTCACAGAAATGACCCCAAAAACCCCAAATCCCACAGAAATCACCCCAAAATCCCCAAATCCCCCAAAAAGCCCCAAAATCCCCCAAATTGGGCTCACTTGGCGCTCTGGTGCCGCAGGTGTTTCCGGTAGCCCAAAAACCCCAAATCTCACAGAAATGACCCCAAAAACCCCAAATCCCACAGAAATCACCCCAAAATCCCCAAATCCCCCAAAAAGCCCCAAAATCCCCCAAATTGGGCTCACTTGGCGCTCTGGTGCCGCAGGTGTTTCCGGTAGCCCAAAATCCCCAAATCTCACAGAAATGACCCCAAAAACCCCAAATCCCACAGAAATCACCCCAAAATCCCCAAATCCCCCAAAAAGCCCCAAAATCCCCCAAATTGGGCTCACTTGGCGCTCTGGTGCCGCAGGTGTTTCCGGTAGCCCAAAAACCCCAAATCTCACAGAAATGACCCCAAAAACCCCAAATCCCACAGAAATCACCCCAAAATCCCCAAATCCCCCAAAAAGCCCCAAAATCCCCCAAATTGGGCTCACTTGGCGCTCTGGTGCCGCAGGTGTTTCCGGTAGCCCAAAAACCCCAAATCTCACAGAAATGACCCCAAAAACCCCAAATCCCACAGAAATCACCCCAAAATCCCCAAATCCCCCAAAAAGCCCCAAAATCCCCCAAATTGGGCTCACTTGGCGCTCTGGTGCCGCAGGTGTTTCCGGTAGCCCAAAAACCCCAAATCTCACAGAAATGACCCCAAAAACCCCAAATCCCACAGAAATCACCCCAAAATCCCCAAATCCCCCAAAAAGCCCCAAAATCCCCCAAATTGGGCTCACTTAGTGATCAGTGGACAGCGCAATGGTCAGTGAGGGGTCAGCGGTCAGTGGAGCGGTCAGTGGTCAGTGAGGGGTCAGCAGTCAGTGCAACGGTCAGTGCAATGGCCAGTGGGGTGGTCAGTGGTCAGCGCAACGGTCAG